GGGGGGGGGGGGGGGGGGATGCAGCCCCTGGTCCTGGGGAAAGAGCCTGTTGTGAGGCAGGCAGCGCACTCTTCCAGGAGGCAGCTCTGGGCTTGGGGTGCTCTGACAGTGTGTCAGATCAGCTTTTTCTTTCTTAGATATCAGAATCTTTTTTTTTATTATTTATTTAAAATACTCTCAGTGGGCATAAGAAAGTCAATAACGACTTGCCTGTGTGAGTGGGCAGACTCTTAACACCACAAAATCGTGACATACCTGCTGTTCTGAACAGTTGACTATTACCCAAAGCATCTTTTGAGTTACTCTTTAATAGAAGTGTCAGCTACTGCTTGCCTCTTCCCTGTTTTAGTCTCCGGTAGTGCTGGGGTGGATGGCTGCAGAGCTGTGGGTAGCTACGACCGCTCAAAATCCAGATTTGGCTGTTCCTGGAAGAGGTGGTACGGGGTTTTGGGAAAATAAAGACTTAGGCATTTCATGGATGGGCAGATAGATTTAGTGATTTTGCTCTGGAAGGGCTGTGCGGGGCCGCACGCTGAGTACGTGTATCTTTGGGTTAGGAGGACCTAAAAGGGGTTGGAATTGGGGAGCTCTAGAGAGGCTGTCAAATCTGGGCAGGGGTAAAGGTTTTGAGTAACCTGTTGCAACCAGAGAATACCTGATAGGAGTTTATTGCTATCCTGGATGTTGAGCGTCCTGGAAAACCTAAACGGAGTTTAAAAAAAAAAAGCCAAAATGCTCAAAGTTAGTGTGCTGTTACATAAACCAGTGTTACCCTATCGTGGTAGTTTTGTAAATCTCCTCGGTATGAGCTGTGTCTTAGAGTTTTCTAAACTTACTAGTTCTGCATGGCCGTGGATTAGCTAATGCTGCCAACAGTAGATTTTTTTTTTTTCTGGATAATATTGGCATTTTCAGTGGTGGAGCTAACAGGTGTTAGCCCCAGTACAGAAAAAGACTACAGGTTTCTCTGGAGTATAGCTAAGGATCTGTCATGATTTTATTTTAGCTTTGTTTGCTTTTGTTGAAAAAAAGCTGTAACAATGTGTTTGTCCTTGGAGAAGAGATTGGAGGGAGGTTGCATTACTAAATGTGTCTGTAACTAAAACGATGGGTGTTGTGAAGATAAATGGGGCCTCTGCCTAAATGGGGTAAAACTGCCCCAAACAAGTGTTTAAAAACAACTTTTAGAAAGTTAAAATCCCGGTGCAGCCCCGTGAGCAGTTGATGGGAAGCAGATGGAAGGTGTGTTCCTGTAATTCTGGTGCAGTGCGTTTCCACTTCTCGTGTTTGAAGGAGTTGGCAAGTAGGGTTTGACTGCAGATCAACCCCGGGAGCGTCACGGAAGCGGCTGTAGCCCTGTGCGGAGCCCCGTGCGCCTTCTCGGAAGCGTTCCGGCCTTGGAACATCTTCCAGGCGTCGGGATGGCTGAGCACAAACGAGTCTGCCTTGCCCAGCGTGCATCAAACGGGGTAGAAAGAGGTGTGGGAAGTGCTGTGAGCGTTAGATGTTCTAGAGGGTTTTGTTGAACGCTCAGATCAGGGGAGTAGTTGAATTTATTAGTGTTTTCAGTCTGTAAGGCGTGCAGAAAATCTAGCCATAATTAAGGGTGGAAGGCAGCTTACTTGCGATGTCACTAAAGCATTTGTGTTCTTACCCCATTTAGGGTTCTGACTGTCAAATTGCTTAGTGTGACTTAAACACGCTGTCATGCGTTTTACGGCTTAATTACTCAAATTAGATTGCTCACATCAACAACGAGGAGGATAAGGAATGAGTTTGCAAGATAAGCTTTAAATAAAAGCTGAATTCTTCTTTCCAGGTTTAGGGGAATATCCTGATACATCCTGAAAATGTTTAACAAATCCTTTGGAACTCCATTTGGAGGCAGCACTGGCTTTGGGACAACCTCAACTTTTGGTCAAAGTAAGTCATACATTGACCTTTCAGGTTTTTTCCTGGAGGTGCAGCCAGAGGGTCAAACAGAGGTGGCGGCTCATGGTGTGGGCTGGAATTGGATGCTGCTGGGCTGTCCAGCTCGCTCGCTTTGCAGTGAGTCAGGTTCGGGAGCTCTGGGCTTCTCCACTAACCAGGCTTTAATTTGGGCAGATACCAGGATGCCACATACAGTCCTTGAAGCTTCTGTTTATAAAAGGGAGTGGAAACGCAGATGGTTAGCTCAAGGCCGTCTTGCCAGGGTGGGGGGAAAGATTTTTTCAGTCAGGACTGGAGTACGCTGGCAAAACTTGGGAAAAGCACGTAATCCGAGGAGTGTCTTCTGGAGATGCACATTGTGAGTACCCCAATGAGTGAGGTTTTAGCCGTTAAAGCAGACTGTACACTGGTCTGTGTGCCCTGTTCATTAGGAAGGAAAGGCAGTAGTTCTGTTTATATTGCTCCTGAACCAAGGAGTGAGAAGACCAGCTTCCAGTGATTTTACATTCTGTAGAAGTGGCTGACTCAAATATTGCAGCCTTTTGCTGCGAGAGCTCTGTATTAATTGTAGCACTTCACGTATCCCAGCCACTGGTGTAGCGGCGGCGATGCACAAACTTCTTTTGGGAAGCTAAAGAGGCGGTGGCAGCGTTTAGTTTCTAGTACGTGTTTGGTTTAGGTGGGACCCCGATCTAAGTGCTGTTTTTTTTTCAGATGCTGGCTTTGGCACTACCAGCGGAGGAGCGTTTGGAACATCAGCCTTTGGGTCGAACAGCAGTACTGGAGGCCTCTTTGGGAGCACACAGACAAAACCAGGTATGGCTGGGTTTGGGTTGTAGTGGAACACAGTCCTGAAAGAAGGATGTGGTGAAAAAAAGGGGGGGAAAAAAACCAAACCCAAGCAACTGTCAACAAAAGTAACAGAAAAACCCAAACAAACAAAAACAAACCAAGGAACTGATGGTTGCAAATCGATGATTGGTCTGTTTCTGTCTTCAGGAGGGTTATTTGGCTCAACCACCTTTAATCAACCAGCCACCTCCTCCACAAGCACTGGCTTTGGCTTTGGAACATCAACGGGGACATCAAACAGCCTCTTTGGAACGACCAGTACTGGTGGAGGCCTCTTCTCATCCCAAAATAATGCTTTTGCCCAGAATAAGCCAGCTGGCTTTGGAAGTGAGTACAAGTGCTGTGTGTCTCTTGAGCGTTGCTCATTTTCTCGGGTTGAGAAGCACTGAACTCTGGGCGTACGTGGGGACCTGGCCCCAGCTTTGGTGGCGTTGTCTCCTGGAGGGGATACAGTGACGTTATTGTGGGCCATGGTAGTCAGGAGCGAGCCTGGTGTGCTGCAAAACCTGGGCCTGCTGTTCTAGCCATGGGTGTTAAGCTGAAAAAGGTGGTCAGATGGCATTTTCTGTTCTTAAATCTCTTTTAGCGCTGCTTGATTTTTAGCTTTTTATTCTGCTGTTGTAGAGCTGTAGAGCAGTTACTGGTTTTGCTTCTGGTACTAGAATGCTTGAAATGCCTCTTGAACTATGCCCTAATTCCCCGAACCAGAAGCAACTGCTTGAAGATCCCTCTGAGAAGAAAAACGAAACCTCCCTGATTCCCTTTTGCGCATCATTTTCTTAGCGTTGTCAGGAGTAGAACGAAGTGGCTGCCGTGGTTATTCTGGTGTTCCCTGGGGTGATGAGTTAGGGCCAGACTTTTACAGCAGAATATTGCATGAGCAGACTATTGGTTTCCAGCACTGCTATAATTATTTTTTTTCTAGCCGTTTCTTCCCCTTCCAGACTATTTTGTAATTTGAACAAAATATTGGGGTCTAAGTTTTAAAGTTCAGGTTTGTTGTAGTACTGATGCTTTTATTTTTATTTTTCAGATTTTGGAACCAGTACCAGCAGTGGGGGTCTCTTTGGAACCACGAACACTACTTCCAATCCTTTTGGGAGTACGTCTGGCTCTCTTTTTGGCCCAACTAGTTTTACAGCTGCTCCAACTGGCACGACCATTAAGTTCAACGTAAGTTCTAGCTTTCCTTTCTTAATCAAGCCTGTTTGATGTAGGAAGCATTATGTTTTGGAGTTATTTGTGTAGTGTCTTGGCCACTGAGCTGAAAAAAGTGTGCAGTGTCCTGAGATGATTTGAAAACATCCCCTTTAGCGGAACTGTTGCAAGGGATATAGGGTGTATAATTAACTCTGAAGAGCTAGACTTTTTTTTTTAATTCTGAATTTGACAAACTTCTTAAACGCTGGGGAATAAGGCCCTCTCCAGACTTGCTGGGCTCACAGCTGTCTTAAAGCTGAAGAGGTAAAGCAACTTTTAAAATGGAGCCCTCTCAGGAAGGTAGGAAGTGCCACCGAATTCAGGGTGAGCAGCACTAACAGCAGTGAGGGTTAAAGACATCCTGCATTGGGTCAGAATAAATTTAGTTCTCTTAGAAGACAGTTTGCCTTTGGAAATGTAAAGTACAATGTGAGGATTGATCCCCTGTGTTTGCTGGGTGAGTTCCCCTTTAAGAAAGGGTTGAATAACACAAGTCCTGTGGCAGTTGAAACCAGGGGATGGCCAGGAAAAGCAACCGTTGTGGAAAAGGGATAACTGGTATCTGCTGGGGAGAGGCTGCCTCTTTCCCAAATACTGGCTCCTGCCAGTGTCAGCCCTCTTCACGTCTAGACTGAGCTGATTTAACAGACCAAGACTATTATGGGATGTAGACAGGACTGTGACGGTAGCTTGGGCGGCTGGAGAGCCGTGCAGGCCCTACTTCCACAGTGCGATTTAAAAAACGGGGGATAATGAAACCCACACATCGCTGGGGGGATTTGGATCAGATTTACATAAACTGCTTTTAAAGTGAAACTGAAAAATAGCTGCGCTGTGTTTTGAGTGTCACGGGGGTAAATTCCACTGCTGATTGCTACGGAACGTGCCTCGCCGCTGGGTGAGGCCAGCACTGCCCAGGTGACACTAACACCCCGCTTCAGGTCCTGTGCTGAATTTAGGTTTTAACAGCATCTGCCCAGAGCGCTACTTGTATTAACAAAAGTCTGTTCGGATTTTAAATTCGATATTGTAACATCTTGCAGCCACCAACCGGTACGGATACTATGGTGAAATCTGGAGTTAGCACCAACATCAATACCAAGCACCAGTGCATTACAGCTATGAAGGAATACGAAAGCAAATCTCTCGAGGTCAGTCGATGAGTGTTCAGACGTGCTTCCCTTGTTTGGCTGTTCCTTAGCAGGGGTTTAGTAGAAGTTTTTTTGATTGTAATAAGTACCTTCTGTGCTCATTAATGCCAGTACAACCTTTGATATCTGCATTGTTCCCAGAAGAGATGTATCAAATAAAACACTTAATGCACCATCATATTAATCACATTTGGTTTTAAATGCTTAACACTGCAGTTTTGGAAGAGCTGGAATTCCATCTTGCTCTATACCACAAGGGCGAGAGTTCCTGTCGGGAGTGATCCTACACTGATGAGATAATGGTAGAATCTTGTACATAACTCAGATATTTAATAAAAACTGGTGTTCCCAAACATTTAACCCTGAAGCCTTTCCATTTGGGTTCACTGAGCTGAGACTTCAAAACAGGTCTTCTACTCAAAAGATCTGAAAAAGCTCTGAGAAGTAAAACTGAAGCCCAGGCATGAACTGCAGAGCTACATCTAAGTTTAGGTTCTGTCTGTGGTGTCCATTTTAAAAATCGAGGTGTTACAGCTTTCCTTGATGTCCTCATCCTGGAGTTGGCTCGAGGGCTGCTTGAATGTGCTAATGATGCTGTTCTGACCCTGCCCTGTGTAAATGAACGTGTAAAGAACTGGATTTCCCTTTCCTAGGAGCTGCGTTTGGAAGACTACCAGGCAAATAGGAAAGGGCCCTCAAATCCTGTAGGAGCAGGAGCAGCTGCAGGCTTATTTGGGTCTTCCACTGCTACGTCAAGTACAGCTACAGGACTTTTTGGCTCTTCTACTACTAATACGGGCTTTTCGTATGGACAGAATAAAACTGCTTTTGGAACCAGTAAGTACTGCCTGTCCCCTGTCATTACTACATGCAAATAGTCTGTTGAGCTGTTTAAAATTCTGTCATTAAAAGAGACAAGGAAACACTGGTGTGAGCTCTGAATTTTACTAGTTGTATTACCAATGTGCCATAATCGTATTCTTTGCTGTAGCAATTTGTTTACTCTGCAGGGGTTGCAGACTTCCTCCACATCCCCCAGGTTCTGCGGAAGCCAGTTCGTTAGGGCAGCTGGCTCTGTGAGGAAGCCAGCTAGTTCCCACGGGTGGGTAAAACAATTTGGAGTAAAACCACCAGAGTGGTGTCAGTGATCAGCAGGGTGATGGCATCAGGTGGTTCATGGTGGAGTCAAGATTCTGCTAATGAGCAAACATAAATTCCCTGGAACTGGACAAGTTAATTTATAGTAGCTTACCTAGGTTTTGTGGAGCTTTTCTCCACAGTGGATCAGGGTTGGGATGTGGGCTTGTTTATATGTTGTGTTGTCCTGGTTCCACGTTGTCTGTTTTGGCATCGTTGCTCAGAAAGTAAAAGGTATGAAGTAATTAATTTACATAAATGTGTAGTTGTGCCAACCAGTTAGTGCATCTTTTTGAACTCAGTGCAAAATAGCGCTGAAAAGCTCACAGATTTTTTTAGCTTCTGATAATCTAAAAGTGAGTGAGTATTTGTCTTTTTGTGGAGTTACTGTGAATAGAAGATCAAAATCCTGCGGTCTGGAGGAACAGAAGCGACTACCTGCTGTAAGAAAGGCTCTACTCCTGGGTTAGGATTGTGTCTGTTCTTAACAACGGGCACTGCTGGGCTTAACCTGGGCTTGCTTGAGACTTGGGTGGCTTGAGCTGAGCTGCTGTCCTCGAGAAAGATCGGCGTGAGGAGGAGCAGAAGCTCTGGTCTATGTTTAAACCTTTTTTTATCACACGTAAACAGCCCTCCTCCTTCGGGGAGGAAAAGGGGGCCGGTGTTGAAGGTGAGGTACAAGTTTCTGTAGCTGGAGTTGTGCGGGCTTTGGAGCCGAGCTGCTGCCTGCCCGTGTCGTGCCCAGCGAGCTCTTTCCAGGCCCTCGTGGCACGATTTGCTTTGCACAGTGGAGACCAACCGGGTCGTATGAAAGCTGGTGCCGCTCTGGTCAGCTCTGTCCGTGAGGGAAACTTGCTGGTTGTGCTCGGGCGTTGTGCTCACGCTGGCTGCGGGACAGGGAGGACCCGGTGCAATACCTGTGCTGACGACGCTGAGTGTTTTGCTGTTCTGTTGGATTGAAACATCTTTTCTTCTGTTTGAATCGAGGGTGGAAGCGCAGTGCATTTGGATACATACTCGAGGGTTTTCTAACCAATGTGTTTGTGTTGTAGGTACGACTGGCTTTGGAACAGGAACAACAGGGGGGCTTTTTGGTCAGCAGTCTCAAACTACAAGTCTGTTCAACAAACCATTTGGTCAAGCCACAACAACGCAGAACACTGGCTTTTCTTTTGGGAATACCACTCTAGGGCAGCCGAACACGAACACAATGGTAAGATAAATCGTTTGAACCCTTAAATGTGTGGATTGTGGGTAGCTACTCCAGCCAGACACAGGAGGCTGGGACACAGTGATTTATATCTTCCTCAAATTGTAGTACAGCTTCATAAAACGGGGCTGCAGAGCTTTGAACACCGCTGGCTGAGCTAGCAACTTCTTGCCAGTCAAAGTTCTTCATTCGTAAGCGGTCAGCAATGCAGCTTTTAACAAATAACTTTTCCAATTCCCTTCTTGAAGCAGTCTGCTCTCTATCAATTCAAGTACTTCCGATCATGTTCACACAGATAATATAATTCCATTATTAACATTCTGGGGGAATTCATTAACAGGTCTGTACTTTCTGGTGACTCATGGGCTCTTTGGATGGAGACATGCTACATAGCTGTAACCTGTTGCCTAGCTAGGGGCTTTGGCTCCAGATATTCTGTGTTCTCTCTGAATATGTGGTGACTTCTCCCGGAAAACCCTGTGAAATGTTTCTTTCCCATCTCCCTCACTCAAAGTGATGAGGAAATGTCAGTATCTCTTTAAGCTTGGAACATAAACTCTCTGACTTAATTTTTAATTTCCTTTTTGTTACTGATTTCTCAGAGTGATTAAAGCTTCTGAAATGCTTTTCACCCACCTTCTTCCCCCAGCAAGAGGGATGATGCTGTAGCACCATTTTCTTAACTGACTCTCTGTGTGTTCTGTTATCGTCAGCGCTCGGCTCCGAAAAGCTCTGCAGTGTTCTCTTAACCTAGTTCCTGTTTGTAGGGTCTCTTTGGGGTAACCCAGCCCTCGCAGCCTGGAGGCCTTTTTGGGACAGCTGCCAATACAAATGCTGGTACTGGATTTGGAACCGGAACTGGTCTTTTTGGACAAGCCAACACAGGATTTGGTGTTGGCGGTTCGGTATGTCTGTACCTTCATAATAAAAAAGATGAATAAAATGAGAAAGGAAAATAAAACCAAATAGCTCAGAATCCTGTTCCTGGGTTTTGGCCTCCAGGAAAGTCGCTTTGTCTTAAGAGTTAAGATGCCCATGATGCAAAAATAGTGTGGTTTTGTGTAAACTGAAGGGTACAATAGAAGCATGTGTAATAAAACTAATGTAGAAATTTTTTTTAGCAAGTCAGGTGTTGAGTGATAGAAGACAATAAGAGAGAGGGAACATCTCGCTGCCTGTTTGTTGCTAGGGATGCCTCGGTGTGGTGTTGAAAATTGTGATGATGACTTAACTGAGAGTGAATTAGATTTGTAATATTTAGTCTTTTGGGTTTTAATTGAGTGAAAATAGTTGTTTCCAGAAGGTGCTTGCCATGTACTAGTGCATGCGGCTTGCGAATAACACACCCCTCGTGGGAGTCTGGGTTGTGTGCTCCGAGTTGTGCTTGGTGTTAGTTCTGCTTTAGTCTGTCAGGTTTAGAAATTCACGTTTTCTTCCTTCCAGACCCTGTTTGGTAACAAACCTGCTGGATTTGGAACCACCACGACCAGCGCTCCCTCGTTTGGAACAACCACTGGCGGCGGCCTCTTTGGTAACAAACCAACCCTGACTTTAGGAACCAATACAAACACTTCTCATTTTGGTACATGTTAAAAAAAAGTGGGATTTCAGTCACTTAAAGCTATACTGCATATACCACACACCTGGCAGCTGAATAGCACGTGCTAAATGAGTGTGAATGTTGAGATTCTCAGGTAAGCTGTGCTTCTGATGCAGGTTGCTGCAGGGAAACATCTTGGGTGCTGTTCTACACCTTTCCTCTTGGTGTACTTGCTGGCTCGAGAAGGGAGGTAGCTGAGAAAAAGTACTGCTCGTTCAGTGAGTGCTTAAGGGAGGCTGTAACCTGTAGCTGACAACTCTTGAGCTCAAACAATTCATACAGTGTAGGGGTTAAGAGGCTGCATATGCACTCTGGTTGCAAATCACAGAATCCCCGAACCCTTCAGGTTGGAAAAGCCCCTCGGGATCATCGAGTCCAACCCTCAGCCCGACTCCACAAAGCTCTCCCCTACCCCACATCCCCCACAGCTCATCCCAACAGCCCTGAAACCCCCCCAGGGATGGGGACTCCCCCCTCCCCGGGCAGCCTGTTCCACTCTCGGACCACGCATGTGGTTGAGCAGGAGAAAGGGGCAGTGACAGCTGAAGTAAACGACAGGCTTCCTTCGATGGACTTCTGTTGAAATCTGCTTTGTTTTTTTTTCCTTGACTCAGAGTAACGAAACTGTATTCCTGAAAGTGAGCAGGAGTGGGGTTAGATCCTGACATCTGTCCTTTAGTGGTTTTTATATTTTAATATCAGCAATCAAGTGAAAAATGCAACTAGCCTGTCAGAAGAGAGGGGAAAAAATGGTAAATTCTGGCTGCCAGGGCAGCAGCTCTGCAAGTGCAGTGTCATTGTGGTGCGCAGCCTTGGGCAAACTGTTGTCACAGTGTTTGTGACAGTCACTTCCAGGTCCCTTGGGCTGGTGTTCTCCGAGATCTTCACAGCCACCTTGGTGTGGTGACATGGTTTGGTCGTGACCCAGACTGCTGCACTGTGTTTTTATTTGCCTGCGTTACTCGCAGTGGTACAGCTTGTAGGAAAAACGGAGTTTAGTTCTGAGGTGATTCTGGTGTTGGTCCACGACTGCAGTTTCTTGTTAAATTCTGTCTTTGCATACTCACCAGCCATAGGATGGCTTCAAAGTTTCCTTTTAAAAAACTGATCTGGCTCATGTTCGATTTGGGTTGTACTTAGTTACAATTAGGGGTGTGTCTTTGAATGGTGTTCTTGTACAAATCCGAGTTGTTACTGCTTTGTGGGCGAGGAACAGAGACGTGCGTGTGTGTGGTATGAACAGTATAAAATGGGATTTGTTCCTTCCAGGCTCTTGAGGAAACTTAATACATTTTATTCTGTTGCTGGATGCAGCATCACGTTCATTCTGTCTTTCAGTAAAACTCTGAAGTTTGTATCAAATCGAAAAGCTTAAGAAGTCAAAGCTGTATTTTCCTGTACTGGTATTTTCAGTATTATGTTCATAACTCAAAATACTTATTTTTTTACCACTGACGTCCCTCCTTGCCAGTTTACCTTGGACTGCTGTGTCAGATTTGACTTTAGCTGTGGCAGGGCTGTCTCTGAGCTGGTGATGCTTATTTATTTAAAACCACGTTTTTAATTTCATCTCTGATATTGTTAGATTAATGAGCTACTGCTTCTGTTCTTGAAGGTTTTGGTGCCAACACTGCTGGAAATAGTTTGTTTGGAAATAAGCCTGCAACTGGGACTCTGGGAACCGGACTTGGAACAGGGTTTGGAACAGGTACATGATTGATCAGCTTATTCCGTGTCAGCCTAAGCACAGTCCTCAAACTTCAGTGAAAATACAGCCTTGGTATTACTTCCTAACTCTGATGTGGAAAGGCTGTAGATGTTTTAGCCTGAAGCCTTGAATCTCAGCCTCAAATCGGAGGCAGGCAGAGCTTGCTAACACGATGCTAAGTAGTGACCTTTCAGAAATGGCAGGCAGCGATGCTTACAGAGTGAGCAGCGGCTCAGAAAGCTGGTGTCCTCTGTGTTCAAGGCTTCTCATGAACGAGTCTTGAGTGCCTGCAGTGTTCATGAACGTGTTAAATGATTAAATTCCAAGAAACAACAATTGATTCTTTGTCGCGGGCTAAATGAGCTTGTAAGTTTGTCACGGTCTTGTAAATGTTGGTCATCTCTCCTGCCGCAGCTCTTGGGGCAGGACAGACTTCTTTATTTGGGAACACCCAGCCTAAACTCGGGGGAACGCTGGGAACAGGAGCGTTTGGAGCACCAGGGTTCAATACATCAACAGCTACTCTGGGCTTTGGAGCCCCTCAGCCTGCTGTGGGTAAGTACATTCACCCCCATCCCAATCGCTGCTTCCTCCTTTGTTTCAGGTGTGCCCGATCGCAGGAGCACATCCCACCCCAGTGCTTTGGAGGGGAAAAAATGTTCGAGTGTCTGAGGCCACTTCTGTCCTCAGTAGCAGTGCAGACCACGTTAATAACATCTTTTTTTTGCTAATTCTATGTATATATTTTTAAGTAATTCAGAGTTGCTTACCAGTGCTAATAGTTGCAGCTATTTTGGAGCTTTGTCTTCAAGATTACTGATGTATTTCCCATCATTGAACTTGGGGCAGCAACAGTAGGTGCTTACAGAAAAAAAGGGGCAGTGTAGGCTTAGCTTCTCCAGTGCTTCCTGATAGGATGGCTAGAGGGACTTAATTAATAGATATTTTAATTAACAACTATGTTGTGCTGTTGGGGAAACGAAGAGTCTTCAGCTTCAGGCACTCACGCTGCCATTTTGTAAGTGAAAATGTCTGCCACGTCCAGCAGCGTTCCCCTTGTTTAACAGATCTGAGCACTTTGGTCCCTGAGGCTGCCATTTCAGGAAAATGGTTTTAAATTTGAGGCAGCACAACAGTGACACACTCATGTGGCATGTGACACTGTGGGAAGACAGGCCCAAGAAAACTGGGGGATGTTCAGGGATCTCCTCCTCTGAGCTCAGGAATGTTCCGTCCCACTGAGTGTGAAGTCAGGTAAAGCGACAGGTCCCAGCAAAGCTCCAACGAAAAAAGGAGGCTTAAAGGAGGCACGGACAGGAGCAGGTAGTCTGGGAGGAATTCAGAACCGTTGTCTGAGCATGCAGGGATGGGTATAGGAAAGCCAAAGCCCAGCTGGAGCTGAATGTGGCCAGGGATGTCAAAGGCAACAAGGAGAGGGCTTCTCGAAGTGACAGAAGAGGTGTAGGGGTGGCTGATGGGCCCGAGGGTGGCGTTGCCATGCAGAGAGACCTGGCTGGGCTGGAGAGATGGGCTGGCGGGAGCCTGGGGAAGTTCAAGTGCTGAGTCCTGCTCTGGACAGGGACGGGCCCAGGCACCAGCACCCTCTGGGGCCAACGGCCTGGAAAGCAGCCGGCAGGGACGGGCCTGGGGGCACTGAGGTGGCCGCGAGCAGAGGTGGCCGAGGGCGTCCTGGGCTGCAGCAGGAGATGGCTCAGGGGGTCCCACCCCTGTACTGCAGGGAGGGGGCCAAGAGAATGGAGCCAGACCCTTCCCAGCGGCGCCCAGTGCCGGCAGCAGAGGCCGTGGGCGCAGGCTGGAACACGGGAGGGTCCCTCTGGGCACCAGGAAACACTTGTCACCGTGAGGCTGCCCCAGACCTGGCGCAGGTGACCCTGTTTGAGCAGGGGGCTAGGAGAAAGGTGACCTTCAGAGGTGCCTCCAGCCCTGCTGCTCCTAGGAGCACCCCTGAAAGTAACTTCTATAGCAGTTACGACAGGCAGAATGTGGTTGAGGGGAGTTATGTTCTCGTCATGATGAAATACTGGGTGTGTTGCAGTCAGATTTTATATATTTCTGTCTTGCTTCCATCATACATTTGTATTTCTTGTGCTTGGATCTCCCTTGATGTAAAACATTGTTTCTCAGAATGGTTGTGGTGTTCTTTGGGAATGCACAGATTCAATCTCTTTTTCTTAGAATTAAGCTGCTTTTGTTTGCTTGAGGCACTTCATAGTGTGAACACTTATTTTAATGGGAGTTAAAATTAGATGCTAGAAGACAGACAAAATTAAGAGGCTGTTGTTGTAGAGGGGGCTCTAGATCTGTAAGTTTGATTGCGGTAGCAAGAATATCAAAACTTAGCATCACAGATCTTTCTTTTGTTCTTTAAAAGATACTTCAGAAGTCAGATGTACGAGTGAAAGGTTTTGGCAGGCCAGGCTCATTCTGCTGATCTGTAGCTCTCCATGTCCTCAGCTTTTCACAGATAAAAACTTACTGAAGGTGGTTGCAGATTCTAAAGAAGGAATAATCTGATTTCTTCCTTCAGACTGCTGCAGAAATGGCAACTGAAAAGCAGGGGAAAGGAATGCTGCAGTTTGTGTAGAAATTTGGATTCCTGTGAGGAGGTCCTCTGATTGGAGAGGTGTCTGTGCTACCTACCTTGGTTCTATTAGTAAAATCGCTAAACCTCAAAAATTATTTTCTTTTTATAGCGCTGACAGACCCAAATGCATCAGCTGCCCAGCAAGCCGTCCTTCAGCAGCACCTCAATAGCCTGACTTACTCCCCCTTTGGAGATTCTCCACTTTTCAGAAACCCCATGTCAGACCCAAAGAAGAAAGAAGAGGTAAGTGCACAATAAACTCACTTTGAGTGAGATTTGAAATGCCTTGACGTTCTGTGCTCGCTCTCTTCACGTAAGTACGCAGTGAGCAGCAAAGCAAGTTGCCATCTGTATGCTCGTACTGGTGCAGTGGCTTTTTGTGCTCCCCAGGACACAAACTGCTTATCCTGTGGCTTTTTTACTGCTTTTGACTACATCAGAGCCTTGGCTTTGGTGTTTTATGCTCACTGCTGCTGGCTGAGGATAAAGATGGATAATTGTCTGTGCTTGGAATATTTTTAGTGCTTAGCTTGAGCTTTGCTCATGACATCTCTTATGATAGTCCCTGTTGGTTTGTTTTAGAAGACAACAAAACAAATGCTTTTCAGACTTTATTTAAAGTGTTAAGGGAGGTTCTAAATGGTGCATTCCAGGCACTAGAGATGACTCCTGCCCAGCACAGAGCCCACCAGCACAGCTGGCCGCACAGCTGCAGAGCAGGCTCTGCCTTCAGCAGCACCCACGCGTAACGCTACCAGGGCTCCTGTATAACTTATCTGTATAGAGCCACCTCCCCTCCCTCCTCTTTGGCTGATAAGAGTGGAAGTTCCCTGGTGAAAGCACACGTGGTCACACTCTCTAGACTCACGTTTGTGGACCCCTCTGGCATTAGTGTGGCCCCTCTGTCCATCCCACAGCCCTGCCCAGGTCATGAGCCCTCTTACCCGCTCCCCAGCGCAGGCTGGTCCAGCCTGATGCTGCAAAAAGATGCATGTGCTCACTCATTTCACAAGCACCTTGTACTTGCAGGTCCCTCAACACCAGCACAAGCCTTCTGCCTCTCCGGTAGCCCTGCTGTGACCCAGGCCCTCCTCCTTGTGTGCTAGTCCAGCTTGAAGCTTGCCAATGAATTCCACATGGACACCCCCCACACTTGAGGTCTGGGGCAATGGAGGTTCTGTGGATGTTGCAGACACCTTTACTCACCCCAGTCCACCCCCAGTAACTACACCTGGGGCACACACTGGTCCCATCCCAGGGGCTGGAGCACAGACCTTCACCTGGTCCAGGCACTGAGGCTTCCCCTCGGGGTGCCCACACCCCCTGTGGGACCCCAGTAGCTGTCCCCACATTCACTCAGCCTGGACAGGAGGTCACCAGATCCTTTAGGTTGGAAAAGCCCCTCGGGATCAGCAAGTCCAACCCTCAGCCCAACTCCACAAAGCTCTCCCCTACCCCACATCCCCCACAGCTCATCCCAACGGCCCTGAAACCCCCCAGGGATGGGGACTCCCCCCTCCCCGGGCAGCCTGTTCCACTCTCGGACCACTCTTGCTGGGAAACATTTTCTCCTCCTGCCCAGCCTGACCCTCCCCTGGGGCAGTTTCCAGCCGTTCCCTCTTGTCCTGTCCCTGATCCCCTGGGAGCAGAGCCCAGCCCCGGCCTCTCTGCAATGTCCTGTCAGGAGCTGCAGAGAGGGATGAGGGCTCCCCTCAGCCTCCTCCTCCTCACCCTGAACACTCCCAGCTCCTTCCCTGGCTCCTCACAGGATTGATTCTCCAGCCCTTCCCCAGCCTCGTTGCCCTCCTCTGCCCTCGCTCCAGATCTCTCTGGGGTTGAGGTGCCCAAACCTGGACACAACCCTCCAGGTGTGGCCTCCCCAGTGCCGAGCACAGGGGACTGTCACCTCCCTGCTCCTGCTGGTCACACCAGTGCTGATCCAGCCAGGAGGCCGTTGGCTTTCTTGGCCCCTGGGCACGCTGCTGGCTCCTGTTCAGGTGCTGGTCAGTGAGAACCCCCAGACCCTTCTCCCCCAGACAGCTCCAGCCACCCCTCCCCGAGCCGGTAGCCACGCAGGGGGTTGTGGTGGCCCAAGGGCAGGACCTGGCACTTGCCCTTGTTGAAGCCCATCATGTTGCCGTTGGCCACCGATCCGATCTATCCCGGTCTCTCTGTGGAGCCTCCCTTGTATCCAGGGTGCCCCTCTCCAAAGCTCTGCCTGCAGCTGCTTAAGGGCCCATCAGTGAGTTGGTTGGAGACTTTTGGTCTTCAGTGGTGTTTCCGCTACCTGTTGTCAACCAGCTTTTGGTTTCTGGTTTTGTTTGTTGCTTCCCCTTTATCCCCTTTGCATTTTTGTGTAGTTGAGAACAGTCAGTGTGAGGTTAATGGCTGGACTGGACGATCTTCAAGGGCTTTTCCAACCTCGATGATTCTGTGAAAAGGTCCTTGACTGGAGAGCAGGTGCTCTCATCCTTCACAAACCCTTACAGTAACTGCGATGAAAACTGCAATTCTTCATCTTTTTGTTTCAGAGGCTGAAACCAACTAACCCAGCAGCTCAGAAGGCCTTAACAACACCCACCCACTACAAACTGACTCCGCGTCCAGCGACCAGAGTGCGGCCGAAGGCCTTGCAGTCAGCTGGCTCTGCTAAATCTCATCTCTTTGATGGTCTTGACGACGACGAGCCATCACTGTCCAATGGTGCATTCATGCCAAAGTTAGTTTTTCTTTTTGTATATGTTGGAGGGAGGAGGTGGTGCGAGAATCTTCTGATCAGATGAAGTAAACTGTACAGTGTCCTGAATTTTGTGACTGTTTTGTGACCTGGTTCAAATATGAATAACAGTAACAGGTTTTGTGTAACACTGGAATAGAAATATTTTCTGTAGAGGAGGTGGAAGTGATCAGCTTGAACTGTGAAGGCCAAATAAGCTGTAAAATGAGGTCAGCCTGTGATCGGAGCGAAGCTTCTGTGAAGTCAAGCAGGAATGTTACGAGGAGAGCCCGTAGGGTGTCATACTTCCTCCTTCTGAAGGAGAAGTGTCGCTGGGTTTGCTAACGCACCGGTACGAAGGCAGCAGTTTTCTGACGTTTTCATAGCCCAGCACTGGTCCTGGTTCAGACACACAGATGTGAGAAGGGAACAGTGCTGCCACGGGTCCGCCCGGCTGAAGCTTTTGGTTTCAGTCTTCAAGAGCACCGGTGGCAATCGAATTGAAAAGGGGTTTGGAAAGCTTTGGGGTTTAGTTAACAACAACAACAAAAAATGTTTGGAGAAGGATGCATCAGTCCTTGAAAGTACTCCTAAGCATAGGCTTTTTAAAAACATTTAGTGACTTGGGTGAACTTGGTTTGTCTTTAATGTAGCCTGAACCATCTGTTCACTTCCCTGGGAGCGAGCGGGGTACGGAATTACTCGGGTGTTTTATTGAAAAACACCAAATGAACAAAAAATCAGAACAGAGGGGTACTCGGGTGACTGAGTGTAAGTGTTGATGTTCAGTGATCTGCGGGCAGCGAGCCCTAGCCTAGCCCTCGACCTGTTCCTGAAGGGACCCTGGAGTGAAGAACCCCCGGCATCCGTGGGCCAGACCTCCTCTGCAGGATTCTGTGCTTCTGCGGGAGAAGCTGTTTTGTAAAACAATCACTGTGCTTTACTGAACTTGGGTTTTGAAGCTTTCAGTAACTTGTGGGTTTCATTCTTACTCATAAACCAAAGCCTTGAATTGAATTCTTAGAAGGGTTTTTATACCTCAGCTCCTGCGGTGCTCTTACAGAACGCTTGATATGTTCTGAGTGTGGGAACAGGCCGCACAGCTGGTTCCTGGCCCCTGGAGCATGTGAATTAACACGAAATAACAGATTTATGCAGTGGATATATGCAAATTTCTCTCTGGTGTTTTATTTAGGAAGAGCATCAAAAAGCTGGTTTTGAAGAATCTCAACAGCAGCAACCTCTTCTCACCTGTTAATCGAGAAAATGAAGACCTGGCTTCTCCTTCGGAGTATCCAGAGAATGGAGATCGGTATGTTGAGTCATCGTGCAGGTGTTTATGCAAACTGGCTATGCTTGTCTCTAAATTATTTTTAATAGAATAGGTAGTTATTTTCAGGCATGTTGTCTTAGCTGTTTATTGGGAAGCAACTTGACCTATTGTGAGATTCATTTCCTCTTAAGCTGTATATTCTTCCTGTGTGGTCACATACCGGTGGTATCCATCCAAAATGAGGAGTTCAGAGAGGAATGAACTCTTTTCTGGATATTTTCTCTTCATTCCCTGTAGCAAGAACGAGGCCATTTCTTGAGGAAGCGATAAACCTGGCCCGGAGGTGAGAAGAACCTCTCCTGCTTAGTCCCCAGGAATGTGGGAACTGCAGGGAGGCTCCACTGATCCAAATATCTCATAATAGTGTTTCCTACATATTAAAAGGAGGAATCTCTAAGGCCATGTGTTCTCTACATGCAAAAACGAGGACTCTCTAAGGCCATCTCTTCCCCCCAGATGCCTGAATACTGACTTCCTCTAAAAACCTGTGGCTGTATTTCAGATGAACTCTTATTTTTTTATTTTTTAATCAGAGGCTGGAAAAATTTTTGACCAGCTCACCATTTTGATTTTATTTAAAGCAACTAGAAGAAGTGATTATGGGAGGGGGAACCTTGTTTCTGATCACCTTAGTCCTGACCTGGGCGTTTCATAACAGGGCAGAGGTGTTTGGCTGTGGTGCCAGCAGTCAGGCACAGCAGGCAGCTCTCTGAAGCTGGAGTTTTGGACCAGCTGTCACTGAAGTGTTCTCAAGTTTGATTTGATCATGGTGCCTGCAAGACTTAATCATCCCATTCTTCTAAAAGTGTGTGTGTTTTGGGCACAAAAGTCTGTGACGGTCTGGTTCGTGAGTCACTGAGTCGTTCTGGTTGGAGGTGACCTGGGGAGGTCTGTTCCTCACGTAGGCTCAGTGCTGAATTCAGACCTGGTGGTTGGGGAGTCTCAAACCTCTGTGGATAGAGATTCTGTCCTCATGGATTTCCTTGTTTTAATTTTACTTTTTTTCTCACCCTTCTGCCACACCTATCTGTGGAGAGCCTGAGTTTTGTCTGGGCTGTTGGAAGGCTGCTATTACACCCCGCTGCAAGCCTTTTCGCCAGGCTGAGCAACACAGTTCCCTCAAGCTCTGCTCACAGGGCGTGTACTTTAGTCTCCCAACTGTCGTGGTACCCCTCTCCCAGTCTTACCACTGTCTCGTAGTGGGAGCCCAGATTAGATGCAGAATGGCAGAGGGTGTCTAACAGGGGCGGAGGGAAGGGGAGCAATCGCTTCCCTCAGTCTGCTGACTGCAGTTTGTGTGGTGGTCCTGTTTGCTTTCTCTGTGAAAAGACAGCAGAATTGTAATGTTGACATAAGTCCCTTAGAACTAAATAATTCAACTTTATTCTTCATTTCTTCAGGTTCTTTCTGTCAGTGCCTCCTGATGAAAACCACAGACAAGATGGTGAGCGAGAGGAGGAGGAGGACTCTCATGAAGTGACGAGGTTTTACACGAACCCCATTGCCAAGCCCATCCCACAGAGCCCAGAGAACACCGTGCAGAGACACCAGAACAACGTGGACGACACCATCGTGGCTCTGAACATGCGGGCGGCCCTGCGGAATGGCGTGGAAGGCAGCAGTGAAGATGCCTCGTTTCCTGACGATTCCCTCCAGGATGAGCGCGAAGAGGAGCCCGAAACTCTGCATCATCTGCACCCTGCAGGTTAGACTCCGCGTGGGCAGCGGGCATGTAGTTCCTGACAGCTCTTCATGCACTCCTCAGTAAAGTTCTCTTTTGCTGTTTTAGACCCTCAGCTTTTCCTCTTTTCCCTTCCCTCCTCTTCAGAATACAGATCTTGCTTTTCAGTCTCCTACCTAGCATAGAAATTTTTTCTGCCGACTCAATGAGCAGTTAAATTTCATCACCCAATTTTATATTAGATTGAGGGAGTGAGATGCATGAGAGGGAGGAAGAGGAGGAGGACCCAATCTGTAAGTATTCTGCAGTCGTAGACTGAGTTGACTGTCATTTGGGAACACGATCTTAGAGTTAGAAATCCAACATCTGGTAGTTACCCACGTTCGGACTGCCCTGTAGGGTTTGCCAGGACAGGAATGAACATAGAACATGGTTGTGTCTCTAGACCTGTCGTGCCTGTGTTTTCAGTCCTCTCAGTTCAGTCTCGGGGTTTAGTAAAACTGGAAATGATGGAGAAGTGTGAAAACATGATGAGGGGTCTTGAGTACATTTCCCTTAACTAAGACTTTACAGCTGTTGAAGAGGTGGGGACGTATGTTAAGAGGGTTTGTTTTGTTTTTTTAAACTCATGAGTGATCTGGAGAAGGTGAAGAGGAAAAGCTTTGTTCATTCTTTCAGGTAATATATGGCATCTGATGAAACTAGTAGGTGTCATGTTCAAAAGAAAGGCCTTCAGGCATTTTGTAGATGCAAAAAGCTTTTTGTGAATTTTAAAGATCATTAGGCAGGTTAATAGATTTAAAAAAAAATGATCAGAGGCTGTTAAGTGTAAAAGATACTGCATCTTGGTCAGCAAGTGCTTGAGCCCCCAAATTGTTAAAGCTGGGAGGGTGTTTCTGTCAGGCATTGCTGTTGCATTTTTCCCTTTCCCTGCGCTCGTACTGATCCCTGACAGATTGGCAGTGTTCCTAGGCTGGCGTAACAACCCTCTGAACTTCCTCTGAAGCCTGTGGAAATAAGGCAGTTTGATTTCTCTGGGTTTGTTGTGCTGATTCTCAGTTGTTTGGGACCTTCAGGCTTGCAAAAAGAAATGGAATGAAACTCTGGAAATGTTAAAGCTGACAGCTTGCTGTCAGCCTGGTTCTCAGTGGATTTTCTGGTGTAGGAATTGTTCTGACGAGAGCTGGCTATTACACCATCCCATCCATGGAGGAGCTGGCCAGATTTACCAATGACAGAAACGAATGTATTGTGACAGACTTCACCATCGGCCGCAGAGGTAAGTGCTGGCAGCTCTTCTAGGGGCTTGAAGGGTGATTTTACAGCCACGGAACCCAAATCTGAGTGCCGTGCCCTCGGTAGGATTGTGAATGGTGCCCTTGCACCATGCACAACTCGCACCAAAGGTTTGTAAAGTCTTGGCGTGGTGGCACCAACAGCCAGTGTTACGGGGCGGCTTGAGAAGCCTGACTGAACAGAACGAAAGCACCTGCAGCTGGTGAGGTGCTGCTTGTTCTTAGACACGAAAGCTGTAAAATCCAAACTTTCTGGAGCACTGAAGCAAACCTGAGTTTTCAGATCTTAGTTGCTCTCTGTGCTGAAGTTGACTGAGCTGTAGTGAAGAGCCTTCAACCCAAACTCCATTCTTTACTGCTTTTACTTTACAGAAAGAAAAAAAAAAATCACGTGGTCTATAATATTTTTTTAAAACACTTTTTCTAAATATGCTGCGAAGCTGAGGGTACCCTTAATGTTTGTGTTGGCAATACGAATAGCCAAGTGATAACAAAAAGCTGTCTGTGCAAAAGAAATGACTCGAAAGTCATCTTCGGTATTTTCACACTGGGAAGGAGTCGCCGCTTGTACCTTGTTCCGGAGAGGTGACAGAGCCCGGGGTGAGGTGGGGAAAGGAGGAGTACAGCAGTCGCGGGGGTTCTCGGCCCTGAGATTCTCCGCAGACAAATTGGGATGGCTTGTTTTGTTTTGCAGGTTATGGATCAATTTACTTCGAAGGAGACATAAATCTGACTAACTTAAATCTGGATGACATTGTACATATCCGTAGGAAAGAAGTTATTGTTTACCCCGACGATGAAAGGAAACCACCTATTGGTGAAGGTTTAAATAGGTAATTTTTAAATGTGTGGCTAGCAAGGGTGTGTTTTCTAATACAATCTACTGCGTTTGCAGACAGCCCCCAAGAAATCTAAATCAGATGTGCCCTCACATTGCAGCATTACACAGTTCCTGGATACTTGCAAGTTTCTGAACCAGAAACAGAGTTTAAAAGCTGGTTTGAGCCCCCGTGTTCAGTGCTCAGCTCCTGCGTGTGTACTCCACTAGCTTTGCTCTGAACCTTCTTGTCTCTTACACTTTTGCCCATCTTTAACAGACGAGCAGAAGTTACCTTAGATGGAGTCTGGCCTACAGATAAAACATCTCGTTGCCTGATCAAAAGCCCCGAACGCCTGGCAGAGATGAATTACGAAGGCAGACTGGAGTCTGTGTCTCGGAAGCAGGGCGCCCGATTCAAGGAATACCGCCCAGAGACTGGATCCTGGGTCTTCAAGGTAACGTTTTGCTCTAGCTGTCGAGTGACTTACAGGAATACTGGAAGTCCTCCAGAGTTAGAATTACAAGTTAGAACTTGTAATTCCAAAATTTCGCTCAGCTTCTGTGAAGTGTCTCCCATCCTTCAGCTGGGTGCAAACTGTCCTCACCGAGCTGATCAGAAGTTCCTTGGATGGCCAAAGACCTGCCCACGGCGGATGTTCTTGGTCTGTCCAAAAGCTGAATTTGTTCCAGCTCTGTCGGGTGGACGCTTACCCCAGCTTCTTGTTCAGACCCTTCCCAGGCGGCTGCCTGAAAACTCTGAGCTGTGACGTGTTTGCCCTTCTCATTACGCAGGTGGCGCACTTTTCCAAGTATGGCTTGCAGGATTCAGATGAGGAAGAGGAAGAGCATCCTTCCAAAGTGGACTCAAAGAAGCTAAAAACTGCGCCCGCACCGCCCCCAGGGCATCTGCCACCCCAGCAAATGACCCTAAACGGCAAGCCAACGCCTCCGTCTCAGGTAGAAGGAGGACAGTGACTAAAAGGGAGTTAATAAAATGAAATTTGAAGAATAGCTGGTGCCGAGGGAGGGGTTGTTGAAGTAAGGAGTAGCCTGGAAACCGAAAGTAAAACCTTACACAAACTTGCACTAGTAGTAGTTGTTCTGATCTCTTGAGTGTTTGCGTGTTCTTTTTCCTTAAGATACTTGAAGTTTCATACTGGGGATATGTGGGGGACGGGAGGGATTGAAGCCCTCGTTTCTTGTTTAACTTCTGGTCTAGATTGAGTTTGGTATATTTGCCCCACTTACAGGAAAAAAAAAAAAAGTTGTTTTTTGTGAATATCGAGTATATGCTATAGAGTTATAACACCTTGTGCTGCCTGCCTTGAGAATGACATCGTGCGTTGACTTGACCATCATTTAGTACGCAAGACTGTACGCTTTATATTTTAAGAATGTGCTCTATTTTTATTAAAACTTTTTTAAGGCTGGTTATATGCTGGATTTTTAAATGTGTTTGCTTGGATGTGACCGCTTCTAAAGCTCTGTAAAACATCCCCAGCAGCACGCCCCTGTCTTACCCAGGGAAGTAGCACTTCAGCCAGTTCATTGGTAACCCCTTTAAACCTCTCAAGTCTTCACATTTTGTTCACTGCTGACTCTCAAATCTTCACATTCCGTTTAATTTAAAATAAAAATTTCATTTAAAAAAAAAAAAATCCCTTTTACATGAGTTTAAAGCTGAGCTTTACATGAGTTTCTAGCTGCAGCTGATACACTTTTCCAAATGTGACAATGTCCAAATGGCAATCTCCAAACTAATTCCATTTTCCAAATGGAAGCAGTTTGGCTGTTGTCAAGCTAAATTAGGAGCCACTTCATTGTGGGTGAAAAAACAGCCTGTTTGAAAAGCCTCCTGGCATTGAATGTTGGATATTGGAATATCCACTGAATATTGGAATATCCTCTCTGTGCCAGGTGTTAACGGTAAACCTTTGTGAACTACCTACAGCTTTTTGAAGTAACCTGTTAGAAAACAGAAGGCAAGTGCAGAGAGCAGATCTTTTAAATTTTGTTTTTTTTTTTCCCCAAACCGGGTTCCCCATTGCCTAGGTGCAGAAGTTAAACCTCCAGCAGGTTAGGCGTGCCGGAGGGCTGAGCAGGGGGGGTTAGCAGCCGGGCAGGACGTGCTGAGGGGGTTTTGTTGAGGGGTGTGAGCAGGCTTTGTGCTTTGCCCTCGGTACTCCGGGCGCGCGGCGCATGGCGACCTCCGAGCTGGGGGCTCGCCGAGGCGTGGGCCACGTGCCGCCGTGCTGCTTGGCGGGTGGCCAGCGTCTCGTAGCACAGGGAAGCAGAGGAGGAGAGTTGTATTTCTGCATCTCCAAAGCCAAAGCATGAAAAAGAGCTTAAGAGGCAGTACTATTGCATAGGTCGAGCACTTCTTTTTTTTTTTTTTTTTTTTTTTTTTTTTTTCCTTTTTCTGTTTGAACCGCGTCTTGTTCTTTTGAAACCAGGAGATGTTACGGCAGCGTTTCCCTTCGTGGGCTGATGGGTTTGTGTAACTTGGGGCCCTCTGGACAAGGGTCTGTTCGTAGTGTCGGGAGGTAGAACAAACCACGCCGCTTCACTGCTTGTGCAAAGAACAGTTTCACGGCTTTTGTGGTAGGGAAACATTAAATAACTGAGAATTGCTTTTAATCTTACTTAGTCTGCAAGGTACTTATAACCACTGCAGGAACGGCTCTGTGTGAGCTGTTCCAGCTCTGCTGCTTTCGGGCGGAGGGGCCCAAAGCAAAGGTCTGTACTGCTTTCCAGTTTCCCTTCTTGTTCACATTGCTGTGGACCAGAGCTGATGTTTTAAGCTGTCAAAAATATTGGGAATGTGTGTCATTTATTCAGACCTGTCTTACAGATTCAAAAGTACTTGTCAAAAACTTGCCTGGGTTAATTAACCTCTTTGACTTGCGTACCATTAACTAAGGTTTTTGTTTCTGAAAACAGAAAAAAAACATCAGCTTCATTGCCCAAACCCCTGAGAAACAACATAGCACGGCTTAAAAGCTTGCCAAACTCCTGAAAATTTAGTCTGTAGGAAGCACTTCGGATCTAGACTTGAGGTGTTTTTCTTCCCTCACTAGCTTGTATATTAATGAACTTCTTAATGTTGCAACGTCCCTGGGAAATAGTTACACCAGGGACCTGGCTGCATTAAAGCACAATGAAGGGAGTAGTGAAACTTTTGTGTTTCGAACCATATTTTGACTTGTAAATCTGTTCCACATACTGTGGGCATGCTCAGACACCGCCAGCTAATGCTCCTGCCCTGTCTGCTGTAAGTTCTAGTTTTACAGACACGCACCCCTGCCCCCCTAAGTCTCATTTTATCTCCCTCATCGGATAACCTTCATCACATTTCCTAGCTGATTCTAATGAGCTAAGAAGCAGCCATTTGAGTCTTAAATTACCCAGCATGATTTCCAGTGCTCTGTCTGCCACTGGCTCATATATTTGCATCGCTCCAGAGCGTTGCTTCAGCAGTCTGTTTGTGGTTGCTTCTGGAAACCATGTAAGCTCTAAGCATGAATTTGTCACAGGATGCTCATATCTAAGCAACAGGCACTGGTCAGACTGGTGCAAGACCAGTGTGCTGGTTTGGGGTTGGACCCCCTCGGGAACCACCCGAAGGCCATTCTGCTAACGTGGCCTGGGCCGGTTCCTCCTGGGCCAGGTGCTTTTTTCTGCCTGGCCTGTGAGCTGCACGATACCAGCAGGGACTGACCTTCTCCAGGGGTTTTTGTCCTGTCAGACAGCTCTGGTAGCAGAGCTGACACCCGGTTGGGCGGCTCGTGGCGTGCTGGGTGCTGCTGGGGGGGGGTCCCCGCTGTCCCCGTGGTCGGCGAGCCGGGCGGAGTGGGGGTGAGGGCAGCAGGCAGAGTTCATTTCCGATGTCTGCTCCTTGGCTGGGCTGGCTGAAGGTTTTCTGGCCCTGCCTGGAGTGTGAGTCCAAGGTGTCCGGAGCGATGAAAGGTGCGCAGAGGTCACCTCCAGCTCATCGCAGAGGTGATGCCCTGTGGTTGCCTTCAGGAAACTCAGAAAGCTGGCTTGGATGGCAGTAGAGATGAGAAGTTGAGCTGCAGATTGGAAGAAAACTACCGTATTTAACTTCTGAGCTGCTCGTGTGCTAGCAATAAGTAGAATATCACTGGAAAATCCCTACGGTTTTCCAGTCCAGTGTCAGTTATGTCCTGATTTAAAATGTAAAAAAAAAAAAAAAAAAAAAAAAAAAAAAAAAATACACACGGGTGCACCACCCCCCCGCTCTGTGACCCAGTCTTATGTGATCCTGAAGGGGCTCGAGTCTTAAAAACTTCTGCTAAGTTCTCTGTGAAATACAGACTCGATGCTTTTAACTTGAGCTACCTCGCAGCTGGGGAGACAAAGCAGGTATTGCAGTGACTCGTCTGCTCACCAGCACCAGCGGTACCATGGTTAACTCTGGAGAATCGCTGCTTTTAAACTGGATTCTCAGTCATCTAAAACGTCCCAGGCACAGGAAACTTTTTCTCTGTATGATAACATCTTGAGGGAGAAGGGGAGGCAGGCAGAAGGAACAAAACTCTTTTTGTTGGTCGTGTGCGAAGTGGAAAGCTGAAGAATAGTTTAAGCTGAATGGCAGAACTCTGTAAACTTCAGGAGGGCGTCCCTAAACCATGACTTCTCCTTCGCTTTAACTTGCGCTGTTACAACTCCGAAGAAAACAGGAGTGGGTTATAGATACTCATCCCTAAACGTGGAGTCTTGACACAAGCAAGGGAGTACTCTGCCTCGTTTGCAGGTGATCGCTGAAACTTCCAGTACTCTTTCTCGGGGAACTGTTGCACTGTGGTGTTGTCTGATGTGGCCTCTGCCTGTGTCCGCAGAGCCCGGAGGTGGAGCATCTGGGCAGGGTGGTGGAACTGGATAGCGATATGGCGGACATCACCCAGGAGCCTCCCCAGGACTCCGCCGTGGAGGAGAGCGCAGTAGAAGAGCAGGAGGCAGTGCCTGCCTCCACTCACATCGCATCCACCATGGGGATTAACCCCCACGTCTTACAGGTGAGGCTCCTGCAGTTTCCCCTCCTTTATCAGCCAGCAGCGTGCCCGGGGACCAAGAAAGCCAACGGCCTCCTGGCTTGGGTCAGCACTGGTGTGACCAGCAGGAGCAGGGAGGTGACAGTCCCCTGTGCTCGGCACTGGGGAGGCCACACCTGGAGGGTTGTGTCCAGGTTTGGGCACCTCAACCCCAGAGAGATCTGGAGGGGCTGGAGCGAGGGCAGAGGAGGGCAGCGAGGCTGGGGAAGGGCTGGAGAATCAATCCTGTGAGGAGCCAGGGAAGGAGCTGGGAGTGTTCAGGGTGAGGAGGAGGAGGCTGAGGGGAGCCCTCATCCCTCTCTGCAGCTCCTGACAGGACATTGCAGAGAGGCTGGGGCTGGGCTCTGCTCCCAGGGGATCAGGGACAGGACAAGAGGGAACGGCTGGAAACTGCCCCAGGGGAGGGTCAGGCTGGGCAGGAGGAGAAAATGTTTCCCAGCAAGAGTGGTCCGAGAGTGGAACAGGCTGCCCAGGGAGGGGGGAGTCCCCATCCCTGGGGGGGTTTCAGGGCCGTTGGGATGAGCTGTGGGGGATGTGGGGTAGGGGAGAACTTTGTAGAGTCGGGCTGAGGGTTGGACTCGCTGACCCCGAGGGGCTTTTCCAGCCTGAAGGGTTCAGGGATTCTGTGACTCAGTAACATTTATCACTAACTTCTTGGTTTGCATCCCCAGATGTATTTATATCCAACTTGTGCTAAACTATACATCACACCTGTAGTGTGATTCAGACTTACTGCAGACTCCTGTGTGTCTGTGGTAAACCTTAATGCAGGAATGAAAGTCATCTCAAGGCTAGTATTCAGGTTTCCAGATTCTGAATGGTGGGTGACATGATAAACTAAACTACTACCCAGCCAGGACCAGCTGAAGTACTGCTCTGCCTCAGGCCCAGCCTTTGGCAACCAGGGTCATAGGACAACTGGGCCTGGTTGGGGGTTTGGTGGTTTTATTTGGCGACAGGATGGTACCTGGAATGCCTGTGGTTTTGATTTGTAAGGAGAAAGTAGTGGAGTTATTACTTAAGCTCAAAAACAAGTAGACAGAGCTAAGATCTAAGAAAACATGATTATTTTAGGACTTCACACCCATCCTAACAAGTACTGTGACACTGATTTAACGAGTAGTTTGTAGAAGGCTCATCAGCTGACGAGCTTGCCTTCGGTTCTCGACTGCGTGCCTTCGCTGTTCCTTAAAATATCCCTAAAAAACAGTGGCATGGTTTGGTCACATGCAACACATGGACGTTCTCCTGGTTGGGAAAGGAGCTGATGAGATCGGCCACCTGCTGCTGTGAGTGATGGATTGCTAACGTGCAGGCTTGGCTTCCCGCCTTTGTTTAGATTATGAAAGCTTCCTTGCTTGCTGATGATGATGACCTGGATTTGATCCTGGATACTTACGGTGAGAAGCAGCCTGTGAAGACGGATACTTCTCAAGAGATCTGTTCGCCAAGGCTCCCTATTTCCAAATCACAAGGACAGAAAAGATACTCAGGTATTACGAGAAACCACATTTTGCTTGAAGAAAGAGTTAAATTCTGACATTAACAGGCAAAATGCCATCGCTGGCTGAACATATGGCAGAGCAGTTGGGTACTGGGGTGGGTTAGCTTTGGCCAGCAGCCAGGTGCCCACCCAGCCACTCTCTCACCCTGCTCAACAGGATGGGGGAAGAGAACTGGATGAGAAAGGGGTTGAGATGAAAACAGGGAGACTGTTTTCCTTGTGACAGTAACTGGTAAGCAGTCTTGACTTGACTAAAATTAATTTGTTGCCGGTAAAAATAGGTTTGGGTAGTGAGAAACAAAGACAAAACAACACTTTCCTACCCAGCCCCCCGCCCTTTCCCAGGCTCAACTTCCCTCTGTCGTTCCTGACTCCTTGATCTCCTCCTGCCCACTCCAGGGGGTGGCAGGGATGGGGAAGGGGCGCTGTGGCCAGTCCATAGCAGCTCCTCTCCGCCACTTCTCTTTCCCCACGCTTTTTGTCCCTGTTCCAGCAGGAACTCTTCCCAAGGGCTGCGGGGGCAATACCTGCTCCGATGCCTGGAGCACCTCCTTCCCTCTTTCTCTGACCTTGGTGCTTCCACACCTGTTTTCTATTGTTTTTTTTTTTCCCTGCCTGTGTGGCACTTTCTGCCCTTGAAGATCTCACAGAGGCACGACCAGCTTTGCAGATTGGTTCAGAGGTACCACAGACTCCCCCGATG